GAATAAATTTGCTGAAGTAGTTAAAAATGAAGTAGTTACAAATTTGAAAATAATTTTGTTGGATCAACAAAACATAATTAATGCTGCAAAAAGTTTTAACATACTAGTAATCAGTTTGAAAATCCTATATATAAGTATTATATTTTGATAGTTCAAACAAAATTATCTTTATCTATAATTAATTAAATTTTTAGATATTTCAGCAAAAAAATCATGTATAAATGTAGAAGACAAATGCAATGTATAAATATGAGAGGAATCAGAAGAGCGAATTTCTCGATCGAGAGCATTTTGTCGCCAATTGCTTATGACAGTAGACATTTCTATGCGAGATTATCCTAAATGACGGTACGAAGGTTTGAAACGGCCAGTTTGCGTTGTCGCACATAGCCTTCGGCCTTATTTACGCATATTCAGGATGATTTCAAACGCATATCATATGAATGAAACAAGCGTATTCCAGCGCGATAAAATCGTGCCCGCGGCAGCAAGTAAAGTTCGCAGCAAATGTTACGTCCAAGCATTTCTCACGATATTGCGAGTCGACTGTCTCTTTCTCTTTCTCTCTCTCTCTCTCTCTGTATAGCTTTAGATAAGTCTATTCTCTAGATAAAAGCAAAGTTGTAAGAGGATAACAATTTTCACAGGGAATAAATGTCGAAATGACAATTTTCGAAATACAAACGTTTGTACATCTTGCGCGATATATATTCCTCAACATTTCTCCTTACACTTAAAGAATCTATTTTTAAAAACTCCGACAATTATACGAAGTTATGTTTCATATAAGAGACAGCTACTAAACCCTGCGTTATCCGGGAAAACCGCGGGTGGCTATCTACCTATACACTCTTCGGGAGAAAAGTTTCGCCAGCATTCGTCCACCTCGAGTGCCACAAGTACTTCACTCACCAGCTTAAACATGTTGCTCCAAGTGCTTGCGATCTCTTGTCGGTACTGTGGACTGACTACATCTTGAGTATCCTGTCACATCACTTATATATCCCCCAGCGGATTGTTTTTGCTAGCGCTCGCGCGTCAAAGATCCAAGGGGGAGAGATGCGGAAAAAGAGTTTTTTCCCTGCCAATCGCGAACGACGTAAATTCGCAGGTGAGGTAAACAGTGTGAGGTCCGATCCTCGGTGTCGATATAGTGGGGTGGGTCGGACCCGGGGACTCGTTACGCGCTCACCTAGATCCTAGATCCTTTGCGGTGCCATGGATGACTCGCCGCGATCATTCGCACGAAGGACGAAGCCATTATCGGCCCAAGCGAGAAAAGAAGGAAAGAAAAAAAAGAAGTATCGGTTGTTCGATTTGCATCGTGAGAAAAAGCGCGTTCGTGCCACCTTGAGCGCACACGCGCACGAACGCACGAGCGCACGAGCGCACGAGCCGAGGGAGGAAAGGAGAGAGAGGTTTCCCACTTCCCTCGTCTCTCCTTCGTCTCTTCACCCCGTCGACCCCGGCCACTCTCAATCGCTTTCTGTAATTATTCGCGCGTCTATGATCTTGTCTGTGCTACGCGAAGCGTGAACAGAGCAACACGGGGACCTCGACCGATCGAATGTGGCACGCGGTGGTGCGGAGGTGATATACTGATATACTGACGATACACAGAGAATTCTCTCTCATGTTTTACCATAATTTTCTCTTGTTACTTGTTATTTTTTTTTTTTTTATATTAGCATTTATACACTAGCTTCTTATATTATCCTCAAATTTATCTATAAATTTATTATCTATTTTTCTCGCCGGCGTTGTTATAAATTTAGCTATTCTATGTCTTTATATATCTCTTTTATATATATTAAAAGAAAATTTTATTTAGATTTTTCTTATTGCACGTTACGATATCTTTATCGCATTATTATCGTTTTATATTTTCATTTCTATACGTATATTATTTATATCGTATCACTGTATTCTCTTAACTCTTTTTTGACAAATATATCATTACGAGCATCGATTTCGATACTTCTAGATTTGAAGATGAGTGGGTGTGTCAACGTGAGTGTCGCTTCCGGTTCGCCATCAGAGCGAAAAATGAATCATCTCGCGTATGCAACGAGCTCGTGGAAATGCGTCCTCTGTACATAACTAGCATAACAATACATTGTACAACTCGATTATTCATGGAATTCACTCGCTCACAGAGATAATAATGCGGATCGTGAGCGCAAAAAAAAAAACAAGAACGGAGAAAAGAGAGGCAGCGTACTTCATTAACCGCGGAACAAACATTTTTGCGTACTCTTTCCTTGCTCACCTCAATGTCGTATACCTGCAGCCTTGCTGTTCGCGGCGGATTATCTTCATCCTTATTGCGACTCGTGCTTACACGTCACCTCGTATACACCGCCGGTAAACACACAGTGGTAACGCGAGCGTGAAAAATTTCCGCATAATAAACGTTTACTATTCACTGTCACCTTCTTAATAAACTACACGTTGCATCATACATATGGATGTATGCAAATATTTCTTGCCCTTAAGACATTTTTATTAAATCGCTCATTTCCTCTTCCACGTGTCTTCGACGTGTAGATCGACTTTGTAGATTTGAAAAACAACTTTGTTTTTACACACATTACTTGATCAGAAATCCAATATTAATATATACAGATTGTCGTCCAAGGGTGTAATTTACACTTTATTTATAAATTCTTTCAATCAGTTTGAAGTCTCTCTCTCTCTCTCTCTATCTAAAAAAAATTCTTCAATATTAATATCATAATTGAACAGTTTTCGAAAATTTGTATTTAAAGAAATTTTGCAGAGATAGAATTACTACTAATTTTTTTTTATTCATGTACATTACGAATAATTCTCCGTTTATTTTAACGAGCTAGAATTTATACATCGGAATTAAACGAGCAATTCTCTATATATATCCCCTTCCGTTTTCGCTGATCTTTTTTTTTTTCGCGTTACGCGGCCATTTGTAACCAACCCTAATGGTTTACGATGCGATTAACTCGCCTGCGCGCCTCGTATCTACTATCTACGGTATCTACCCTTACGTGCAGCCGCGAGGCACGCCTAGACCGATCGCGAATTGGGGCTAACGAAGATAAATATCGGCGCGATGCGATGTACGTATATCGTACGTATATCGCAAGTGTATATCTACGTTACGACGTGCTGTGTATATTGTATATACGCGAATTCTCTTTACGTGAAACGCAAAATGTCGCTGCAAGACAAACGGTCCACTGTCTCTTGCCTCCGGGCCCGCAGGCGATCGATTTTTAAAAGACGGCCAACTACCGACGAGAGAGCAATGCACAGTCGGATGACGATGCACAATGCAATACGTACAAAGGTATGTACAGGGTGTCCCGCTTGTCGAATGTTAATTTCTTTTTAAATTAACGAATTCCTCGATCCCAGTTGGGAATTGATTTTTTCCTTGGCGAGAAACGTGGAAACGCCGATAACTTTCGAGATACATAAATGATTTAAAAAGAAATCTTTTTGCGAATTAAAACCGTCTGTTTCTACCAATGTAGTTAAATTTTTATTTCGGTAAAACTAGCTCTTCCTTTTCTAATTCTAAGAATTAGAAAAAAAAAAAAAAGTAAGTCGATTACAGTTAATCTACTTTGGTAGAAACGAGCATCAAATGGATTTATTAATGCGTCCTTTTATAATTTTAGACGGAATTAATTTTATAAAATCCTAATTAAAGTTTACTTACAAAGATACGCGATGTTAAAGAAAACTACGATATAAACGACGACTTCCTACGATCAGTCACGGTGAGAAAAACTTGAATTCAAATTGACCAAGGAATTCGTCGTCGCAAAAAAAATAAGTCGCGAGAAGTCTGGACACCTTGTATTTAAGCCGAAAGGGATTAAATCCGTTAATCCGTGAATCCTGCGCGTTTTATATGATATATGGTATTTTTTATTTATCGTTCTATTTTGCTTATCGGACAACGTCAGCTCCGCCGCCGTCGAATAAGTTCTCTTGCTTATTCTATATCGACGTCGATGACAAGCGGCAATAAATGTTTGTAAACACGCTTTCGTATGAGATAACAGAAGACCGTAAGCGTCATCTTGTTTTTTTTTCTTTCTTTTTCTCACCATAACACCATTATATAAAGTCGTTCGCAACCGAGGTCGTTAACGAGAACCGAGCGAAGATGCAAGATCGCGAGAAACCGCGCGGCGGGAAACAACAGCCGGTGACGGAAACTGGAACACCGTGATCTAAATCCCAAGTTTATGCGTCTGCATTATTAGCATTAGCATTCCGTGTGTGGACCAAACGTGTGCTCGGCCAAGGAGTGTCCGACTTCCCCGCCCATTTCTCGCGCACATTTCTGTCGCGGTTACGTAAACGCCCTCACGTTAGGTAAATGCGGACATGCAATGCTCCGCAATGCTTACATCCTCAAACCTTCAAATTATTTCTAAAAGATATCTTAAAAAAAAAAACCAACGTATTCGTAAAATTGCTGCAGTAAGCTTGACGCAAAAAAAAAGTAGATGTATGTATACAATCTACATTTTCTTACATATTTTTTTAAAAGATTGAAGTTTTGGCGAGAAAATCCTTCCGGATTCTCGCTTCCATCTCGGAGGATTTCGCGATTCGTATCTCCGATGTAATATTGGCCGAAGACGATATATTTCTCCCGCTGTGAGTGATCGCCTCATTTTTCGCTGGACATTCAGGTGATGCGTGACATCACGTCGCTTAACAAGTTCTCGCCTCGGCAATTGTGCAATTATTGTTTGCCAATAATGTTCTCGATCGCAAGGACCGATCGAACGCGAGAGTATGCGGCTGATTGTACGACGTCGGCAATGTCGGCAACGGCAATCGGCAGTGATGCCGGGCGTGATGTACGAGCCTCCGATACGCGCCCCGCTGCGATTTATTACGGCGCGTTATCGCGGCGTCGGGAATTGTAAAAGAATCGCTCCCGGGCGTAGAATGGAGTATCCCGAAATAAATCGACGAGTGAAGGTGGGGGGGGGGGGGCGGGGGGACCGTTGCCGTTATTCCGCGAATGAAAATAGCATTTAATAAAATTAACAGAAGTAATCGTGAAATTAAAAGCGCGTATTAAAATTGAAATACAGGGAGAATAAAACATAATAAATTTAATTGCGAGAAGCATATAATGAATATACGTTGCTGCTGAGTAACAAGGAATATTGCGAATAGAGTACGCCGCTCGAAATGTACAGAACGCGTAGTGAAGAAGAGATCGGTTTCAATTTTTAATTAAGGTATAAAGTGTTCTTCTTCCTCTCCCCTTCTCTCTTTGACTTGGAGTACGTAACCGAAGGTAAGCAAGCGCCGTCAGTGGTGCTTGCGCGTGGTGTTTTACTTGAAGGAGAGGAAACAGGAAACGTTTCCCCGATACGTACATTTCGCATTATCTCCGTAGCGACCGGAGGTTACCCGGAAACCACGCGCAAACCCCAGAGTGAGAGAGTGTTCCGTTTTCGTCGTTCTGTTTCTAGACATGGTTAAGAGGATGCGAGAGAAATGAGTGCTTCTTACGCGGGAAAATGTAGCAGGAGCTTCTTTTTCTTTCTTTTCTCATCTTTTTTTCTTATTTTTCTTTTTCTTTCTTTTTTTTCCCTTTTTTCTTTTCTTTTTTTTTTTTTTTTATTTTGTGCACGTAATATACTTTCGACGATGGGAGACACGCGGAAGACAAGGAACAACAAGCTGTCGGCCGACGTTGGCTCGGCTACATATTATTTTACACTCTAAGAAGATACGAGGGTGGGACGATATAACTACGTAAAGAAGCGACGATAGCGGAAAGGAAGCAGCAGGTGTAGCGAGCACTCGATAAACATCTTCCGGAGATGGGGACGATCTTCACTTCTCCTCACCCTCGCCCTCTTCCTCCTCATCAAACTCTCCCTCTTCGTCGGCAGTCGCCTCCTGGTACTGCTGATACTCGGACACGAGATCGTTCATGTTGCTCTCAGCCTCGGTAAACTCCATGTCATCCATACCCTCGCCGGTATACCAATGCAGGAACGCCTTGCGTCGGAACATCGCGGTGAATTGTTCCGATACCCTCTTGAACAGCTCCTGTGACGCAAAAATAATTACATTTTCGATATAATTAGTCCTTTCTGCTTTTTAAGTAATACATTTAACGAACCGAATGACGAATAATTTGTTTTTGGAAAATTTGCAACTCTGAGAAATCGATTGAAAATTTAATTGATTCACAGTCGAATTCTCTCTTTGTTTGACAACAACCGAACGAACCTGAATAGCCGTAGAATTGCCAATGAAAGTCGCGGACATTTTCAGACCCCGCGGGGGTATGTCACAAACGGCAGTTTTCACGTTGCTCGGTATCCACTCGACGAAGTAGCTGCTGTTCTTGTTCTGGATGTTGAGCATCTGCTCGTCCACCTCCTTCATCGACATCCTGCCACGGAATACTGCGGCCACTGTCAAATATCTACCATGTCGCGGGTCGCACGCGGCCATCATGTTCTTCGCGTCAAACATTTGTTGAGTGAGTTCGGGTACCGTGAGTGCTCGGTACTGTTGCGAACCTCTAAAATCATCATTTTAGAATTAATAAGAGTTACTAGTTATGGACTCTCGAAATTGAAATAATGCAGTACTTAATGCATAATTATTCATTCTATGTATATATATGTATATATATATAAATTATATTTTTATCTATCAAGTACCGCACCGAACTCTCATTCGTCTAATTTCCTACATTATTTTAGAATAACGTCGAAAGCAAGAAACCTGGAAAATTACGTACGCGAATAAATTTTCCTCTAAATAATTAATTAATTAATTAATTACATTGATTTTATTGCATTGCAATTTAGAAAATTTCGTTTAAATAAAATAGCGATATGACATCGACTCTTATAGTACCGATGCTCCATTTAATAATTAGTTTTCCTTAATTTAATTAGTTTTCTTTGGCAATATGAGACCTAGAAGTTAGAGGGGCAAAGCCGGGGATGAAGAAATGCAGTCGCGGGAAAGGGACCATGTTGACGGCGAGTTTCCTTAGGTCTGCGTTAAGCTGGCCGGGAAATCTCAGGCAAGTGGTGACGCCGCTCAGGGTCGCGCTGACGAGATGATTGAGATCACCATAGGTTGGCGTGGTCAGCTTGAGAGTCCGGAAGCAGATGTCATAAAGCGCCTCATTATCTATGCAATACGACTCGTCTGTATTCTCCACCAGCTGATGTACCGAGAGAGTGCAGTTGTAGGGCTCGACTACGGTGTCCGATACCTTCGGAAGGAGGCGAGAATAAACGCTGACGTGGAACGTATGGCATCGGTCGCGCTCGCGTATCGCGCAAACATGAATACACAAACGAGAGAGTACAAGTATTGTATGCTGGCAACGCGCTCAGTATTGTCCTATTAAGGACAAAAGGTCGGTTCCTGGCTGGTGCTTTGTCTCGCATCCATTGTACCTTATCCTGCGCGCATCAGAAAGACTTTCATGTTTGCCGCCGCAGCGAGACACGCTCCGCGGATGATTCCCGATATATACGTGAAATTCGAAACGTAACTCTTGACGTGAAATCCGATCTCGTATTGTTTCCGAAAGTCAATGAAGATTTTGTCCGTGAATATAGAGAGTACGTCAAAATTATTTCCTTTAAAATCATGCTAGATGTGAAATCGTGAAATCGTGAAATCGTGAAATCGTAGGACCGAAAAGAGATCTGAATTTCTGATTTGAACAGAAAAGAGATGACTGCGATTAAAGAAATGATTGTGAAATTAAAATGAAAATTAAATTCGTGGAATAATATACCTTTGGTGAAGGTACCACGCTGAAGGTCATCATGATTCTATCAGGGTATTCTTCGCGTATTTTGGAGATGAGCAGAGTACCCATGCCGGCACCAGTGCCACCGCCCAGCGAGTGTGTCAGTTGAAATCCCTGGAGGCAGTCGCAGCTCTCGGCCTCCTTGCGAACGACGTCCAAGACGGAGTCGACGAGCTCGGCGCCCTCGGTGTAATGTCCCTTGGCCCAGTTGTTACCTGCGCCGCTTTGCCCGAACACAAAGTTGTCTGGCCGGAATATTTGACCGAACGGCCCCGAACGAACCGCGTCCATTGTTCCAGGTTCTAAATCGACCAAAATCGCACGTGGCACGTATTTACCGCCCGTCGCCTCGTTGTAGTAAACATTTATTCGCTCCAACTGCAGATCCGAGTCACCGTGATACGTGCCAGTGGGATCGATCCCATGCTCGTCCGAGATCACCTCCCAAAACTGTGATCGTCGTAATAGAGAAAGAAATATTTCATTCGAATAGAAATTTCTCAAGAATCTCGATATTTTTGCGTGAGCATGAACATATTTCAACATAAATATTTTTCGTCTCAATTGGATAAGTGTATTTATTTAAGCTCTCGTGATATGTATTCGCATTGGACTGAATGGGACTTATATCTGAGAATTATTCAAGGACTTGAAACATACCTTTGCTCCAATCTGATTGCCACATTGGCCTGCCTGAAGATGTACTATCTCCCGCATGTTCGCTTAACTTCGATTTTGCAAATTTTCCTCTTCACCACGATACGCGAACCCGAGTGAGTGCAACGAGACGATGAAATCAAAACTCTTCGTCGTCCTCGTCGTCGTCTGTTTCCGTTACCTTGGAAATGCGTAACGCGTATTCCGGAAAACGGGGCGATGCGAGAACACACCGTGCGATAAGGTCGAGAGCGCAAAAGATCTCCGATACGCGACGAGACTCGTAATAATTCCGATAAAATCCCTAACCCTAAGAACCCCGTACCTCAAGTAATTTGGTTGAGTCAAACTCACGTTCCCATGGATACACGCCGAGCGAGAAGAGAGTATCTCAATTCCGCTTCTGTTTCGGGACAATTGAATGTAACGTTGATGAACAAAAGACTCACACCGCGACGTATCTGCTCGTATTGTTCGTCGGTATTGAGTTGTCGGAAAGAAATTCGTATACGCCTTAGTGGATGTTAAATCTTAATAACTTGAATATACCTCTTAGAATAAAATACGATAATTTCGATTCGAATATACTTATTTAGGTAATTCAATAACTTGATGACATTTTTGAAAAATCTTTTTCGAAGATTTTAATCATCTTTATTGAAATCACACAGTACATCTTCTTTTTTTAAACATTTGTCCCTTTTTTTTTTATCGTAAGATATTGTATCAGAATACTCATCGAACGTTTATATCTTATAAGAACATTTTGAGCTTCGTAAATTGAATTCCGCGTAATGCTACTTAGGCGAGGTCGAGAGGATCTAGATGAAGTCCGCGAAACTCTTAGTCGTGAAGGCTTTCGCTATCTCGTTAACCAGCTCCATGTACACGATAGGATTGACGTTCTGTGCGAGTTGGTGCAATAGGAACCAATCGCCGAAATGGAATACTCGTACAACACGCTCAGCTTTAGATTTCTCGAGCCTGCGAACTGCACCACGTAGAAGATACACTCTCGCCCATGCTTGAGAAAACACTATGATCCTGCGAGGAGGATTGTATCAATTGCATATCGATCCGACGATACTTGCATTACATTTTTAACAGCTCTACGTAATGTTCTTTTTTTAATCCCAGAATGCTGTCGGTACACAACTTTAAGTAAAAGTAAGAAAGATATTATTAAGAACTAAACTGTACCTTGAGTGGTCATTAGGAGATCCAATATGACATCTTAAAAGTGCTAAGCTAGGACAAGCGGAGATTTTAAAAAATTACGTTCGTGTTATATCTTAATTTAAACTCCCTGGTGATTAATATTATAACAAAAATAAGTGATTTCAATTTTTTAAACAGTTTTATATTATTATACATTTATTAGTAAATGTTATGAGGAGACATTGGACACTCCATTTACAGATTAATTTCCAATTTGATAATGTGTTTATTCTTTCTCTCCTTTTAAATTAATAATTAGATTATTCGTGTTTATAATTAATATATTTTGTCATTAAAAGTGTGAAATGTATGAAACTTGTTACATCAATCAAGAGTGACCTATTTTCTTGTACGTAAAATTTATGTCGTATTGATAACATACTTCATCACTCAATAACAACTGCATTCTAGGGTTAAAATATAAATAATGCAAGATTCGCAAATGTACGAGTAGCACAAAGTGCTGGAAAATTGATGGGTAGAAAATATTATAATATTCCTGCGTAGAATAAGTTTTATAGATTGTTGAAGTATGTTTCTGACATTCAGTAATCAGAATTGCCATAATGCGCAGTCGTTGAGGGAACTTACGTACCTATAGATTACCGCGAGGCAACCGACGCCCGCAAGAAACACCAGCCAGAACCAGAGAACAACGAAGATCTTCTCGTTCACCACGTTCAGCGGAAGCACGCACAAAGCATCGTGAGTTTGCACGGAACCCGCGGGTCCAAATGTGTGAATCGTACACTTGGTTACCTTCGGAAACAATCGCGCCATAGGATCGATCCTTTCGTGAGGACTTTCCTCGGCGAGGAACGCGCTCACCATGGGTCCGTATCGCCTAAACTGTCCCTCCAGAAATATATCCAACAGATATATCTGTCCTATCTGAATAGGATAGATGAAAGGTTTTATCGAGAGTTTTCGTTAATTTAACGCTCTCTGTGAGGTACTCTTAAAATTAATAATCATAAAAATAATCGGTAAATGCCGAATCTTAACGATTGCATGAATTTGTCGATTTTTTTTTTTTTTACTTGCTGAATCGCAAAGAAAGTGAAATGGTTATATTTTATACGTTAAGGGCCCTCGAGTTGTATTTCCGTGCGATATATCGGGTTCGTTTCGAAGCAAAGTTTCGACCACGTTTCGTTAGTCCGGACTCATTATCGAACCCAGAAATCAATTATTCACAGTTATTTCCGCGCAATTTCCTCGCTTCTGACGTCATAATCCCGGTTGGCCGATCGAGATCCCTTAAGTACCTTCGCAGAAACTCTTCCGTTTCTAAACTGAAGGGGAATTATACTTACCGAATTTAAGAAGTTCAAGAGCTCGCACACGAAGAAACGCATGGCGTAGAAATTGTGACCGTGCAGATTCGTTTTGGTGAAATATTCGACGAGCTGCTGCTTCCTCTCCTCGGTCCAGACGTCTCTCAGAAAGGGAGACGCGAGATCCCGCGAAAGAAGACTTATGGTGCCTCTCTCCCAGATGCCCCATAACGCGCGCGGCACGTAAAAAGAAATGGCTTGTAAGCCGAGAACAAAGCATACCTAATAAACATTACATCCTTATTTCCTTCGATTTTTCTTAGATTAATCTTTATTTAAGAAATATTTATCTTATCTCTCTCCTCATTAACAGAGATAACGAATATAATATATCGCGTCTCCTATATATCGTTAGAAATTAAAAAAAAAAAAAAAAAACAAAAAAGATATCGTAGACGTAACATGTATAATTATGCAGAGAAAATGTTTTTTTTATTACAAAAATTATTTGATTCCTTGCACAAAAGGTAGGGCTCAGTAGAAAATATTTATATTTGACTTAATATTTTTCTATTGGGAAATCTAAAAATTTCATGGGAGACCTCTACTACTTGTGCGTTGCCTTGCCTTCCGCGATGCGAATCGCGCAATATAGAGATGTAGGATAACGGTCCAGTATCTGCGCGATCTCTATTTCCATTTCCTCGCGCCGTCTTCCGTCCCCTTTCCGGACGTTTTCCTTTACATTCACGCGTTCACGTTTCAGATTTCATTCACGCTCGCGCAATACGTCTGCATGCGCCGGTGAGCCGAGAGAGCGACCTGACCATCGGAACGAAGTGCAGCCGTTATCATGCATCTCGCGTACGTGAACGCGCTATGTAAGTGTGTGCATTCCATACGGAACTTATGCGATCGACCAATTCCGTCGCACACGCGCGTTCTCTCCCTCGCATTTCTCTCCCGTTCGCTTTCAATTTTTCAGAGTGCCCCATCGAAAAACAATTTAGGGATGCCTTTGACGAATTCCGAGTCGATCTTTCCTCGGCGAGAATTTCCGAGAGAAGTCTCTACGGAAGTAGAAGTCTCTCGGAGAACTTTTATATCGAGCATAAAAATTCTTGAGCTTTTGGCCTTGAAGAGTACGAGTCAATAAAGAAACTTTGTGTTTCGGCTGAGTTGATAACTTGATTTTATCGGAGATTTGATTTAAGGTTCGCGAGAAAATGTAACTTGTACAAAATTTTCTAACAAAAAGCAAACATTTGAGAGAAATCGCGATGGATACATGACGACTTTAATACCGACAATTTATTTAAATAATATATACGTTATTTAAATAAATTTTTATTTAAATAATATATTTTCCGGTATATAATTTAATAAATATATTTTCTGTGTTCCATCAACAAACTGTTTATCAACTATTGTATCGATTATCTCCTCATCCATATCGTGAACGTTCTAAATTCAGCTGACCCACTGATAATATCGATGATGACGGGCTTCATCACCTGGAAGGGCCTGTCCTACACCAGCACTCGCTACACTCCGTCCAGGAATACCTTTCAGATGTCGGGTTACCGTGAATGTGCTGTAGATCCAGCAATACGCATTTACGGGATCTTTGTCTGCCACAGCAACATGTCAAATCAATCATCAATTATGACCAATTATTATTAATAAGCTCTCTTGCTCAAGTAATAATTAAATATTCATACTAAAAAAAGAATCTAGTAATATCTACCAAAAAAATGAAATAATTTCAATCAAATTATTTATATTTAGTTAATATAACTAAAAATAATTTTATTTTTCTAAATATTTTGTAAGCATTATCAAATACAATAATTAATTGTTCAGTAATAATTACGAGATATTGAAAAAAATTATTTTTGGTTATATTAACTATTTCATTTGATTGACATTACTTCACTCGACATTTGATAACCATTACTAGACTCTTTTTTTTCAATGTACGTATAGAAAGATATTTAGAAAGGATTTATAAATGCAATCATTACGATTAATTCCTTGAGCACAACTTCTGTAAGAATTTGAAATCCCAAATGCTCACACACTTGAGGTCTAAAGGTTAGCGGAATTCGTACCGATGGAAGCATCGGTCATGCAAGAAATCGGTTCGCCGATGTATTGCTTAGCAGTTACGAGAATGGTGCAAACGAGCAGTAGGAGAACGGTGATGCGCGAGTGTAGCCTGAAGACGACATTGTCGACACGAACGGATTCTTTCTGTAGAAGGCATTTAATAGGTGCGAAGAGGTCCAGCATGGTTATCGCGTGTTCTTTTGTCTCGAGCACCGAAACAAAGCACAATAGAGAAAATTCCAGGTTCCAAAGCGCATTGTGAAAGAAAGCGTTTGCAGCGTCGCGTATTTGCTCCAAATTCGTCCAGGAATTTATCGTGGAAGACGGGCTTTTCGATTGCGAGTAAGTGACGTTTAAATCGATGCGCGAGGAAAATCGACATAATGAAACGAAAAATGAAACGAAAAATAAATCGAATTATGCGTCACGGTAGAATTTCGCAAGGCGAAAGATCAAAATTACGAACGACGCTAAAACGACGGGCGAGAAATTATCACCGTGTAAATCATCGACAAGAATGGCGGCGCCCAAAACTGCATCCGCCTTAATTGGTCCGCACTTAACCAGTGAGCAGACTCGTAAATCTTGACTCTCTCGTAACGATCTCACGTTGTAATTTTTGCTCTCGGCAACGATCCTTCTCTTTTAATTCATCTTTTAATTCATCGTCGCGCACCGAATCCGGATTCTGAGATTTGTCGAAGGGATTCAGAGCTTTAAGCACATATATAAAGAAACCCACCTCTTTCCTCGACTTCAAGGATGCTCTTTATTAGTAAAAAATATAGTAATCATGATAATTGTTATTATCGCAATTACATGTCGTAGTAAGATGATCGTTATATCGTCGATTAAAGATAGCTGCGCTCGTTAATAATGCGCTTAATACCGCATCGCTCGGTTGTGTGCGTGTCATGTGAATCCATGTGTGGATGTGTGTATCCGCTATTGAGATTGTCGCTAAACCTACATAAATGTTTCCCTATATACAAGCAAACATCGTTCCTAGAGCACGGCAGCCCCGGGGACGGCGGGCCAAGTTTCCGAGTCTGTTTCTTGTTCTAATTATAATAGCCCTCCTCGAGGAGGAGGAGGTCCAACCAACGAGAGTATCGGATTAACGGGATTCCTTATCGCTGCGATAGCCGGCACCTTACCCGACGTCTCGCCGACGCATTATTTATTTACTCTTGTTTATTTTATTTAATTATTTCTCTTTCACCTAATGTACCGGTTTATTTCTAAAAAGCAATTGGTTTTACAAACCTCCTTCTAACCCTTGCCTTATTATATACAAACTGTTTTGCACTGTCGACGATCACATGCATCATAATAGCTGCATATTTTAGTAGGCACGCTCATTCGGTGTCATAGAGTCCAGACATCTTGCGAATCGGCGAATCCATAACTCTTCTCACTTCCTGTTTCTTCTCTCCTTTTGCTTTCTCCAATATGGACACTAGAGCGATTATATACCTCGCAACGGATTCGATATATGTATATATGTATATTATATTCGATACTGTCGCCGAACCTCAAGATGTTAAATCGACAAGGCGTGTCACGACCCGTCAGAAGTCACAATTACTGGATAGTACTATCAATTTCCGTCGTTTCCGCCATTCCCGCTGTATTTTAAGTCAATTTAATTGTATCTTGCTCGCGAGACGCGAGTTTCTCTCGAGAATTCACGAAGCAGGACAACTTTGAGCAACCGCTAAGGACTATATATCCTAAAGTCGGAATCTACGACGATCGGCTCGCTGATTTGCATTTGTACGAGCGACAACAAAAATTGAGGATCCATGCTATTCCGTACGATTTTCTAGAGATAGCAATAATGCCACCTGACAAACGAATCACAAATATATTATAAAATATATTACGTGTAATATATAACACGACATAATTAATTTTAATTATAAAACATTTAATATATTATAATATAGAACTACTTAATTATTCTAATATTTTTGAAAAAACGATAATAAATTTAAAACTTAATCTAACTTAATCTAATCCATGTATAATCGTTTTTCTTTTTCCTTTTGTGTTTCGAACTCATTATTGTCAGGCTTCGATGCTGATTATCGATAAGATTCTATAATTAGATTAGAGGAACGAGATAATAAAAGTATAAAAACGTTTCTACATATCGTTGAAGCTACTGTCTCGTAGATGCCTTGCTATCGCTAGAAATGAAGCTATCGCCGCCCGTACAATTAGCGACAGAAATAATCCGATCGCCACAAATCTACGATAGTTCTCGCAAACGACATATGAGAACGATCGAGATGAGAGCTATGTATGGAGTTCTATGTCTATGGCAGTGTGTGTAGAGAAGACGCGATGACAATACGACGAGTATAACACGGCAGTGGCAAATACAGCTTTGCTTAGAATTTCGTCGTCGCTGTAAGAGAAGGATAATGTATGGATCATTAGAGTTACGTAAAGAGTGTAAATAGAAGACCGACAGTGTAATGAACGTGGGGTGGGCGATCGGCGTTGACAGACGGTAGTAATACTTGAACACCGCGATACAACAGAGTAATAAAGATCCGGAATCGACCTCTTGCAATTAATAAGCAAACTCGACGTTCATTAGAACCCGGAAGCATCACATTGAGAAAATTACTTGTAATGTCGGATCTGTCGTTTGGAGCAGTATGGAAAAACATCTTCTGACACACCTCGATGAGTCTCGAGAAGGAGAATGCTTCTCGACCATTTCTATCGATTTCTCAAACAACACAGAGGTCTGAAACACCAAGGGCACCAACGGTCTCGACAGGTTAAATAAGCTTGCCTTAGGGATTTCTATTCTTCTCTAGATTATAATCTTATCTATGATATAGTTAGAGACTAATAAAATTTATTTAATCAAAATTAGTAATGCTGATGCGGCTCAAAGACATTTGAGCGACGTTTAAAAAGTTAAAAACACCACAAGAACGTCTTATATTTGCAGTGTTTCTCCAGGAATAAAGATTTATTGTTTGTATACATCTACGTATGTATATAAACATACATACATGCGAGTATAAAGAAAGAATGTTAATTACGTGATAAATTTGTTTCTTAGACCTCTGTGTGTTCTCCGAATTTGTGCGTATACCCGCAGAAGTAGGCACGATCACTCTTAATAGGGCACGTGTATGTCCCTGGAGCGCGATCGTCCTCTGCAAAGCCTGCACATGGCGATGAAACACGCCAGACCCAAAAGAATGGCGAGACCGGCGCCTAAACCTGCGCCAGCCCAGCCGGCGGGTCCAGCAAAACCACCGCCATTACCACTGACAGGACCACCGCACGTCTCCACTGACTCGTCGTCCGGCTCGTAAAAGGTGCCATTCAGGATACTCGGCAGGGGCAAGTTGCGACTGGGACAGTTCACCACGCCGTTGCACACCAATCTCAACGGAATGCATCCCGCGTCGCCGGGACACTGGAAGCCGCAGTCCTCTAATTTCCCGGTATTGAGAGCCCCAGATCCGTCCCTTGGTAGATGAAAGAGTTCGGTCCATGCGATCTTGAAGGCCGCCCGGGCTGGTGCCATGGATCCGGTAAACTGTATGATCACAGCGGGCGATTCCTCGATGACATCACCGCTCGGCGCCAGATGATCTATTGGCGGTGTGATATGCGCCGCTGAAATGATTGGCATCTCTCTCACATAGCTGACGTTCTCACCGCAAATACCGAGATACGGTTCGGCACTGCCTGGCAGAAAGATCTCGAGCTTGCCATCCTCGCAGGAGCGCGATGCAAATTTGATCTTGTCAAAGTGCAACCAGAGATCGCGCTCACGGTTCACCCGCAACTCCCAGATACATTTGATGGTCCTGGGTGGCGTGACGTATCCCAGTGCCTCGTAATGCGGAAACTCAATCTCACCGTCAGTGGCAGGTGGCAGAAGCGCCGGTCCGCATAAAGGACTATGCGCGAACTCGTATCTTGCCTCAAAGAGTGGCGCGGGCCACTTGAAATAACTTGAAGCCGCGTGCGCACCGTCCACCAGCAGCTTCAGATCTAATCTTTCACCCCGAGAGACGACTCTGAGAACAGGCGGTCGCGGTGAACTCGTGGGCGCCGGAGTACCGTTGTTGTTGATCCGACAAAGGCAGTGGCCCTTGATACCATCTGGATTAGGTTCCCGAATGATCACTCGATCCACTCGACTATCCCAGCAATGGCCGCATTGAGCGTACGGATGCTCCTTGAAGTTAATTGACTCTATCACAAGAATCACGCGCGCGTACAGCCGCTTATCCGTAATGAAGCTGTAGGTGCAGGATAGATCAGCGGGTGGGTCGCCCGGTCGTTTATAAACCAAAGTATTCAATGGCGATCGTAGACGACCCGAGCGCGTCTTCCACGATGCGAATACTTCATCGCACTCGGTACCGGGCGTGGGCTCGCCGAATCTCGTCGCATTGAAGAAGTCATAATGAGCCCAGTAATAGAGCGAGCTGCCGGAGTAACTGCCAGTTTTACTTTCGAATCGCACGAATAGAGCGTTTGACGTCGAGACAAAGTCGTGCTTCTCCATCGGTTTGCTGAAAGTGTCGCAGAAGGTCTTGATAATACGAGCGTCGTCCGGCCAGTCAGCGTCATAGAGCGTCAGGCTCTCACCGCAATCGCCGTCGTAGGGCTGAATCGGCGACTCGATACGGTTCACACGAAAGCTGGGGAAATAAAGACGAGCGATCTCACCGGGTCGACCGCGTAGCAAATAGGTGCAGCTGGTGTGTGGGGGGTACCAGTGCGCAACTGATAGAAAGATACCCTCGTTACCACTCACGAGAGATTCGCTGTTCAGCAGCCAGTCGCAACTGCCGTTTTTAACACCCGCGGTCTCTACATGACCGGGCCAGTTGCCGACGTTGAAGTGAAAACCAGTGTTAAGCAACGGACCAGCTGGCGACGACACGAACTCGACGTAAAGATCCTCACTGGTACCAATGATGCTATACGGGAATTTGCCCATACCGCAGAAAGTGCCGATCACCGGGCTACTTTCGTTCTTACCATCGTACACGCGTATATAATCATACGGACAGTGCTCCGAGCCGGAACTGATCGGCCGCATCGGACATGTCATGATATTCTCGCAACGTTGACCGTCGATGTTGAACTCTTCGTTCTCGATGTAGAGTTTGATGAAGGGCAGTCGGGTGTTG